TTGTGTTTTCTTCAGGCCGCTGCCGTCACCTGCGCCATTTGCCTCTCCAACGTACCCCTCAACTGCCCCAACACCGTCATGACCCTTTGTTGCAAACACCAATTTCACTACGACTGCCTCGACCAATGGCGTACTCGTCAAAACACTCAGTGTCCCATGTGCAGGGCCCGGCCCATCAACACCAATCCACCCTTCCTCACTACCCTGGAACTCTTGCCTCTGGACTCCTCTGACGAGGACGACGATTACCAAGCCAACGACACCCCTTCACAGGACGACATCGACCACCAAGCGCACCCCTTTACCATCATCCCCTCCACCACCATCGCCCTTGAAGATGCCCAAGATTACAGCTGTCACCACCGTACCCCCAATGCCTACGGTCCCATCGTCCTCAATTCTACCTATACGCGTCTCCACAACTTCCAGTTCACGCAAACTCCTTCCACGCCCCTACGCTACCTACTCATCGCCCACGAGGCCCGCGAATATCCGCCCTCAGGATTCATTCGCGTTCAACTTTCCACCTCGGCCACCATCAACCACTACTTATTCGCTTCGGCCATGTGGAGAACGTACCAGGACGACAGCAACATCATCTTTACTTACCTACCCTTAGTCGATGGCCTCAATCGCGACCTTCCCCTATCGCACTTCAATGCCCACACGTCCGTCTACGTCTACGTGGCCCCCTACTTGCACCGGGAAGATCCCAGCATCTACATCATGGGGGTCAGCACCAAAAAAACATTACGCGCTACCAAAGCCTCCTTTCTAAAAGCATTTCCACGTTGTCCTTTTCCCTCATTAGAAGGCCTCTACTACACGCCCCGACACCCCGTACGACCCCTCTCATCTGATATGTACGTGTCAAGAGGCTCAAGATCCTGACTGTCTCCAATGCAACGAAGCGGCCAAGAACTCCGAAGTGGACAACAAAAGGTTCTTCTTCCCTCCTGACTTCCAAAAACGCACTCCTTCACACCTCATCACTGACGTGGCCGACGCTCTGGATGCATGTCCCACCTTCCAATTGTTCCTCAACTTCTTATCCATCTTCAACAAGAAAAAGAACTCCAGCCCCTGCAGCTGTGGCTGGTGCAMTTCTTAATACCTCACTCTTCCCATACAGACCTACTGACGCGTTCACCCTGACAAAAACCGTTGCCAATACTGCTCCCTCTTGTTCACGTTTGAAACTACTCTTGCTCCTTAACAGTGCTGCGTTTGTTACTCGCCTCTTCCCGATCATCCGCTTCAACGACACCTTCCGACCGAAACACTTTACTCCGACACCAACATGACCTCCTGCTGCGCCCAACCCATACACACCGAGTGCCTCATGCAGTGGATCCTCAGCACGGGCTTCAACTACACCTGCCCTTACTGCCGTACCCCTCACGCGCTGCCTCAATGGCCCGGCTCCTTGTTCGTCAACTACCTCGAAGGCCACTTCTCTCAAGTGTACAGCGGCGACCCCGTCTGGGAAATGGCTCAGCCCACCATGGCTCGCATCATGCTCCTCTTCTTGCGTCACGTCCACGACCTCATCCACATCCGTCCCATCGCTCACGTCAATTTTCACAACACCATCAAGCCTCCACCGTGCCTGCTCTGCCGCAAGCCCATCCCTTATTCAGGTCAAGAAGGAACCATCGACTACACGGGTCAATACCACACCTTCAACTGCCGTCAATTTGCTCTTCGAGGGTACATGCCTCCGGCACCTCGTCACGTCCCCATCCAAGCCTGTCATTCCCTCTGCCTCGTGCGCTACATGGATCAACACCGTCATCACTATCCCATGCCGTGTCCT